CGCCGGAATAGCAGCGCTGTGATACCTTGGTCCATACCGTAGTTCACGCCTGCGTACCGGCAGATATTCGGATGCGGGTTCTTGCGTAGCACTTCGCAGTTTGCTATCTCCCGCGTCATGATGTCTTTGATCCAGTAGGGTTGCCCGAAGAGTTCTCGGTAGTAGCGCAGGTAGTCCATTTGTTTGGCGTAGAGATGGCCTTTTGTTGCGTACTTGGCGGAGGTCATGGCGCCTTTTTTGTAGGTGGGTCGCGCGTTTGAGAGGTTGATTTTGCGTGGGGGGATGTCCCAGGTATATGGGTTGGGATCGGGCTTGCTGTTGTCGTCATCTGAGATTTGGGTTTCGGCGTACCATAAGCCTGGGTACTTTTTTGAGCGGAAAAGGGCCCGTTTGGTTGGGCCGGAGATGCGTGATTTTTGGAGGATTAGGTCGTTGCTGCGGGCAGCGGCCTGAGGCGCCATCGTGGGGAAACCAGAAATATCCTTGGAATGGAAGATGTTGAGTGGAAGCTGTGGAGGGAAAGGCGTCTGACCTGTTTGTCTATGTAGTGAAGGGATGCGCTGTGAAGGCTTTGAGACCACGATGGTATGTTCCAGTTGGCACTATGATGCACTGATTCACTCTGTGAGGAGTTGACGCTGTTGCACATTGCAGTCGCTCTGTTACAGTATCCAGTATGCTTCCTCTTGCTCACATGGTTAGACTATATCTTTACAGTGAAAGACTGAGCTGTACCTCGTACTTCGACTCTATTCTCCAACAATACAAGAGCCCATCGACTTTGCTGGAAGATATCTATTGGTGCTCGCATTCAACCAAAGATCCCTCGATGAACTATCCGGATCAAACACCCTGGCCAGATCATTATGTTCAAGTACATTGCCGGATTCACAGGCGTCAGCAAAGACGACCTACCGAAGCCGTCAATGCAGATCGTAGACTATCGCGTTGTATCCCAGGATTCTTTGTCCGAAACCTGGGTGCTAGCACACAAAGACGGAAAACTATACCATGCAATCAAGAAAGGCATCCTATCCGACCGGGACATTGACCGTGCCGACCCTTCAACCTGGATAGACCGTGGGAGCACTTTGCCCCCTGAGCGAGTCAACCCAGCCAATTTCTACCCGCAGTACAAACCTGAATACACGCGCATTTTGGAAGTCCGAGGCTGCGAAACGAAGGAGCATTATAAGAAACATCATGCCATTCTGCAAGCGGGCCACCGGCGCATTCGCAACACCCGTTACCCAGACTTCGTGGCGAAGGCGACTGCACGCGAGATTGAGATGTGCGAGAAACTTCGTGTGATGCCCCATAAGCACATCTGCAGATATCACGGTGTGCAGACTAGTCGCGTGCTTCGGTTTGAGTACCGTGGGTCTCCTGTCGATGTGCCGATGGAAGGTGAGCGCGTTCTACAATTAGTCTTCGACAAATACGATTGCGACCTCTGGGAAGCAGTTCAGCGCGGTTACGCTGTACATGTGCGAGACTGTCTAGAAGCTATTGCTTCTGCGATACGGCACCTACACTGTCTGGGTATCGTCCATGGGGATATTAAACCCCAGAACATCTTCCTCGGGTACCCCAACGGTCATCATGACGCGACTCCAACGCGCTATGTTGTTGGCGACTTCGACAGTGCGCAACCCACGGGTAGCGTAATCGATGGGAAGCACGGTACTCCGTACTGGTCGCGGGAGAAGAAGGTCTGGGTTGATACCGTGGAGGAAGATGATGATTGGTTTTCTTTGGAGAGAATGAGGAGGTGGCTGGTTGAGGTTACGAAGGGTAGGTTGGAAGATTATGAGGGGATGGATTGGGGAGAAAGTGGAGACGTAGGTATTGTTTGATGGATGCTGAATGGAAACGTTGGTTTCGTGGAGATGATACCGATACATACGGATGGACCTCCTTTACTTTACCTAGGTACTGTAAGGGGGGTCAGGACTTGAATCCTACTAATTTGCCAAGGGATAAAGGATTATCCAAGGTGACCACGTAGAGACGTAATGGACATGTAATCAGCGTCTCATACCTGGACCAGAACGAGACATGTCCGCGTAACGATTAGAATGTTCCAAACAGTCAGATGGCATGATAGCCAAGCGTCGTGACATACTGTAAGCGGAGCGTGGAGTGCAGGAAGGAATGAATACGCGACGCGCGCAGTCCAGCCTTGTTTCGAGGTGGAGCTAGACAGCGGCACGACCCGACTAACGGCGTGGTTGCCCCATCCGCGGTGTCCGCGGTGTTTCTGTTTCGACTTCCGCCAGTCGCGCCATTGACGCGTCATCCCCTATTTGCCAGATTTCAATCTGCCTATACATAATACACAAGCGCTATATGTGAAGATCCCCTACCTATAGCCAACCGCCCACCACCCGCCCGCCATGTCCCACTCGAACACGCAAGCAACCAACAAGATGCTCAGCACGCTCCCAGCACCAACGCGCGACCTGACGGAACTGGCCAAAGAGGAAAAGAGCTTCACCTTCAACCATTTTACCTGCGAACATGCTTGGGTCATTGGCAATATCCTCCGAAACGCGCTGAGAACCGCCGAATGCCCCGCGCTTATCCACATCTCGTCTGCGAATCAGACGCTGTTCCACTCGCCCAGCCTGCCTGGCGTAATGCCCGATCACGAGAAGTGGACGGAGAGGAAGCGCAATACCGTCTTGAGATGGGGCCATTCGACTTGGTTCATGAGCTGCCAGTTTGAGGGCGATTACAAGAGGTTCGCGGAGCACAATGCTATGAGCGGGGATGAGTGGTCGAAATATACCATTGAAGGGGGCGGATACCCCGTCTTTGTCAAGGGCGTAGAAGGCGTCGTTGGCGCGATCGTTCTGGTCGGTGTTGGCGTGGACAGTGAGCAGGCGCACGGTGTCGTGGTCAAGGCCGTGGAAGAGTACAAAGATCTCAGAGAAGGGTTCCGCAGCCCAATGAGGAGTATGACGGTCAAATGACTAGATGGCCTGGGTAAAGGAGATGGTCTTGGAATCACACTTGGCATCGATGAGCGGATGGGAAGGAGCAGAGAGAAGAAAAGGACCTGAGCGCACGATACAAAGTCTGTTGTGAGGCTTGGATTGAGAACTAAAGTACAGAAGAGGCATGACTGCCAGCTGGACGAAACCCGAAACGCCCTCCCGCCGCATCGAAAGCTATCGAGTAGCCAAACAACAAGTTCCGCCCTGTGTTCACATAAGGGGGGTGTTCCGGTGGTTGCGGAAACACATACGTTGGTTCGATGGACGCATTCTGGCCCACGACGAAGGAGTAGGAAGTCGCTGGTCGGTCCAGCGACGGAAACCCAATCGTGATATTGGTCCCAGGCTTCACACGCTTCAGCTTGCTTGTTTGGCCATTTGGGTTGGGGTTGGGGATCCAGACAGTTGGTATCGAAACGCCCTGCTCAGCCCTGATATACATCTGCGATATGCCCGTGTCGACTAGCAGAGTGCCACAGTTCTGCCCCTGGCCATCTATGCTGAAGCACATCTTCGCCATGGCCCAATCTCTCGCATCTTTGTCATGAGTGAGGCCTGGCTCTAGACCAGAGAATGCGAACCCCTTTGTGTTCTTCGGCGTCAGCCCTATCTGGATACCTTCGGCCGATATGATGTATCCCGATTGCAAGTTGCCTTGTCGCACCGGCTCCCCATCGACTGCGTTGATATTCAAGAACGGGTTGATATCCGGTGTCGCGTATGGCATACCATCTTTTGGACCGTTTCTTCCAAAGCCTACGCCCATGTAGGTGATTTGCGAAGTGTCCCTCTCTTCGGCCTGCTCTCCATGTGGACCCAATGGACATTCGAACCGGTCTTTACGGGGATCGTACCAAGGGCATCTCCAACTCTTGTCGACGATCAGGACAGGCACTTCTGCAGTCGCATATGAGCCATCCTCGCCGCCGAAGTGCATCGGTAGTTTGACCAGTCGCCCTACGTAGAGGATCTTGCTGCTTGTAAAGAAGTGGTGTGCCGGCGTACCCTCAGTAGATGGTATGTTCGGCAGTATTGGGGCGCCTATCAAAGTGCCTGTAGAGCCTGTATCCACGGGCATCTTGATGTCAACCCCTTCGACGCCACACATGACTTGCGGAACATGTTTGGGGTTCAGATTGTACATAAATGGAATGAAGATTGAGTCCGTATGTCGTGTTGATTTGGTGTCCATGGGGCGTAACGTAGCTAGTTGGTTGTACATGGCGAAGAAGGCGAAGCTAGCGACCAATATCAATACGCGCGAGAAGAGTGTTGAACACTTCCGCTTTGGGTGTGTGAATGTTGAAGATGTTGCAGTTGGCGCGTGAATTCCAGATGGCGATCGCGTTCTATAGACCTCGGTCTTCATGGCTGTAAATAGATGCAGAGACCGCCTGCACCATCCGCTGGCAAACGCCTGATGCACGCTAAATTCGCGCGTCAATGTCGCGTCCAAGGAGTCAACAGCGTGACACTTGATGGGAATTGTGTACAAAGCGGTGTCGAGTCATTCAAAAAGCACAGTAATAGCGCGCCGACGTCAACGCCGCCCGGGCGCGCTGTGAGTTGGCGTACCTCTGTCCCCGCAATACCCGGATCCCCAGGCACGTACTCCAACCCAGCAATCCTAGACTTCGGCTCTTCTACTCCATCACCATTGTTCAGTCAAAGGTCAACCTTTACGTACTTTCACGAATATATGGATCACGAATCGCGAGATGCCGATCATCACGTGTGCTCATGCACGTCGCAGCCGGGGATGTTCTTAGCTCGAATTAGGCCTGTGGCTGAGTGTGACCATCCACCGCCCTGAAGGCAGTACGACCGCAGACTGAAGGAGAGGAGCACTCTAGCTGAGAATGGCTTTCTACGACCTACCCGATCCCCTCTATCGACCTTGATACGTCCTCCACTTCATCTCCGATCGATCGAATATCCGCCCTCGTACTCCAACCACCGCCTGCGAACAGAGAGTCGTCGCAGGGAGAGCATGTAGCCAACATGGGTCGCTCACCATCACGATCCAGCGATGGAGCTGATTCCGCGCAAAATGCGCGCGTCGAACCGCGTCTCCTTAAGGCCATCGAGGACAGTAAACACGACGATGCGATCGCGATTATCGAGCATGCAAAAACGAAGTCGCAACCCGTCGACCACCTCCTGCGCATAGGCTTGATGCGCGCAGCCGAACGCGGAAATATCTACATCACCGAATACCTGCTCAAGAGCGGCGCGAAGCCCGACGGCGCACCGGGTGGCCGAGTCTCGCCTTTGTTCAAAGCGATTGAGAAAGAGCGTGTCGACATTGTACGACTGCTGTTGAAGTTCGGCGGCAACGTGGATGCGCAAGACAAGCAGGGACGGACTGCGCTGATGACGGCTGCATGGAAGAACTACTACCACATCATGCAAGAACTGCTTAGGTATGGTGCCGACGTCAACAAGAAGGACAACACTGGGCGGAACATATTACACAACTTGGCGGCAGACAAGCACTGCAACTGGGGACGCGATGTCATCGCGGAGCTGTTGAAGCAGAATATCGCGATCGATGGGCCAGAGGGCCAGGACGACCAGAAGCGCAGCCCGTTACATTGGGCTGCTAGTACTGGCAAGAAGGAGCTATGTGAGATGCTCTTGCGTCGAACGAGATTGCCGAGAGCGAATGTGAACGCGGTGGAAGTCAGGCAGAAGACGGCACTACATCTGGCAGTCGCACACGGGCGAGACGACATCATCGAGCTTTTACTAGTCAACGGGGCAGATGTAGGCGCGCAGAGCGACGGAAGCTGGACGCCCCTTCACAATGCTTGCGACCAAGGCAGTGTAAAGGTGCTGAAGATACTCATGGCTGCCGGAGCGGACGTCAATGCGCGAACACTCAACGGGACGACACCTTTACACGTTGCGGCGCAAGCTGGTCACTTTGACGTAGTCAAGTGTCTTTTGGAAAGGGGAGACATCAAACGAGCGCCGAAGGATACATTTGGTATCACGCCATTCTTGCGCGCTGCGCAGAGCAAGAAACCTGCGCGCAAAGATATCATCAATGCTCTGGCACCCCACAACCAGGTCGAAGCGCTCAGCGAAGATGCCCTTGGCGCTACAAACGGGTTCCATGCTACTATCGTTGACTTTGGCAACTTCCACAACGAGAACAAGGTCTCAAGAAGGACTGTCTTTGAGCTGCTGTATGGCCGCGATCCCATCAATCCAAGAAAGCCAGCCGTTGCGATTCTACCCAAGGAATCAAAGGCGACAACCTTCCGATGGATACATCTCCCTGCCAATAACATGGCCTGGGTCGAGGCGCTACTCACAAAGGCGTTCATCGAGGAGGGTGCCAGCGATGTGGAGGGCTTCAAGGCGCTCGAACGGTCCTTCAGTCATCAGCATCGAGGACAGCAGATTCATTCGCATTTCATGCGACCGCTGTGTCAAAGCACACCGCGTGCACCAAAACAGCACGATGATTCCGATCTTTCCGACGGCGCTGATTTCATACCCCAGATTCTGGTCAATAGCGGTATGGGCTTAGGTATCGATGCGGTAGCTGGTTCACAAGAACTGCCAACGTCGCAATTTCCTCGCACGCCTGTGCGGACCAGTACCGTGGATACAGACTATACGGATGGGACTGCAGGAACGGGCTCCGGACCTACAACTGTTAAGGAAGGAAAGAGTAAGGCGAAGGACAAATCGAAGAAGCAACCGAAGTGGAGTGGATCGAGACAAGCAGGCAAGCGATCAGGTGGGACGGACACACCAACCAGAGGTCCAGAACACCAGGCGAAACGAACGCATACTAGCTCTTCTCTCAACAACAGTGGCTATCTCAGGTCACCCGGCAGCCCGGGTAGAAAAGATCCAACAGCCGTAGCGAAAGGCAACATCTTTTCCTTCATGCCATACCTACATTTCGAAACCGATCGGCGGCGGCAAGAAATGCAGGCTGCGATCTCGAGGACGCAGAAGATGAAAGAGCGGGAGAAGAACGATGGTGGCACTTCCAAGCCACAGTATTACCGCGCATCAACTTATGACGAGATGCTGTTTAGGGCTCACTTGACATCCTCACAAGTTTCGCTGCACGTGCGACGCACGCTCGATCAGTTCTTCTATCACAACATCGACACGCAATCCCGAGATCGAGACCAAGTCGTCTATCGATATCAATGCAAGTCGAACGAGCCGCAACATGTTGACCCGAAGATCTTCATGGTCGATCAGTTGTGGATGTGGACGCTTGGCAAAGACTTGATCGTGACAGCCTTCCCTCAAAGATGGCAGCAGCCTCGCAACGACCCGCTCAACGTCCTGGATGGAGTCATTGAAGACATCAATAGCAAGACAAGAGATCCCGTGCGTAGCGTATACGATCTTGCCATGATCATTACCGGCCGGTGTAGTGGCGTGTTCGACAGACATCGCGTTGGCGACGAAGACTATCAGTTTCTCGACATGTTCGAATCAAGCATCGGTGATGCTACTGAGATGGAAACTATGCTTTTCAAAGAGTTCAACACAGCGTCCGCCCAAGCATCGGCTTGGCTACAGCATCACCGCCGGCCCAATCGCTTCTCTAGACATTTAGAAGCCGAGGGAAGACAGAGAGAGCATCTGAATCGCCGTCACACATCACATCATTCACACTCTCACTCTCACGCGTTGACTGACCCTCCAGTGCCGGAAGAGGCATTTGACTACGGTGACAGCGATCGAACGGCTGCCCATGCACCTCTCTTTGTCGATAAATTACTAGACATCGGCGCCGAGACAGACCTGCTAGCCGAGACGAAAGACATTCGCGACGAACTCAACATGATTTCAAAGGTGCTGGAAGATCAACGCACCATACTGCCGGACATGGAGACGAGCATCACGGACATATATCGTGAAGAACACAAGAGTCAACAGGAACTCAAGAAGCGATTCAAGGATATGACGAAGACAGTAGACACACATATCAAGGATCTCGAACGCATGGACAAGCAAGCCAAGCGCATCTACGAATCCATCACCGACCTACTCGATCTAAAGCAGAAGCACGCCAACGCATTCGAGGCACGCTTCGCTCGCGACCAAGCTGCCGGTACAGCAAGACAAAGCCAGACCATCATGGTGTTTACCATTGTCACCATCATCTTCCTCCCTCTATCCTTCATCGCAGCCATGTTCACAATCAACATCCAAGAATTTCCGCATCGGCCCGGTAGCGACGAGCCTTCGCTTCCTCTCTCATTCGTCAGCAAGTACATGTTCGGCATCGGCTTCGCAATTTCCATCCCGTTCATCGCCATCGCGCTCTCATTCGACGCCATTGGGGATTTCTTCCGCGAAGTCAAACGCCGCTTCCGCGAGCGCAAGGCCCAGAATCGCCAGAGCCGGCGCGATACCGACGCTTACAGCGGTATCGAGAAGACTGACTTCGAGTACCCCTTCGATACGCGCACTATCGAGCAGGCTCTGAGTCGCGGGCGTAGTACGGCATACCGCCCCGACGGCAGGCGCAGCATCGAAAGCTATCTTGGCAGTGCGAGAGCGAATCACTGGGGTGATGGTGGCTCGTTGCTTCCGGTTGCTAGTCGCAGTACGGGAAGGAGTCCGGAGAAGGGGGCTGTGAGGATTACGAATGGGTTGAATGGCACGGCTGCGATGGCTAACCGATTGAGTGTGGATAGGGCTGAGAGGCAGAGTCCGATTGAGAGGATTAGTACCGGGTTTAGGATGAGAGCAAGTGGGGATTTTGAACGCGCGTAGTCGTGAAGGTAGCGCTTGTGGTGTTGGGAAGGTTTGGAAAACGCAGATACCCTAGCGCTGTTATGTACCGTCGCTGATGAATGAATAGAGACACGTTACATTTTACGTTTTCTTTGCTTATATGGCGTGCTTAATTCAACGCGGTTGGGCTACCACGAAAAGACCAAATATGGTGCGGTAGATGCTCAGGATTGGGTGGACGAAGGAGAGATGTGGGGATGACGGCGGACGCGATGGTACTGTGATGAGACATTGACGGCGAGCCGCACACGACTCCCGAAACACATACCATACTCGTATGAAAGAATCATCGAGAGAAAGTAGAGTCGCAATCTTTGAAAATTCAGGCTGTTAGTGATCAGGATACAGTCAAAATTTCTTTGGGGTAGGTGCGCCTGTCAGTCGAGTTTGCTCTGCGTCATGGCCCCTTCCGAGTTGCTTCGCTCGGGATTGTCTGCCGCCTCTTCCCATTTCAACTTTAACCCTCTCGGTATACCTGGACTACTACGATACCTCGGCATGTCTACAACCAGCCCGGTCACCGGCGATGTAGTCGCTACACTTCTCGATGGGAACTCATTCCAATCAGCCCAGCACGCGACCATTCCCCACCCCGTCGGCTGCGAATGCAGTAACTCGTACAATGTGCTCGATACAAACGCCCCAGTGCAGCTGGCTTCTGGCAAAGAGACGACTGGAACCCATATTGCTACCAACAATGAGCCTGGAGATAGCAAGAAGCGCCAGAACGAGTGAGTGTATGCTCGCAGGGTTGTTGAAACCCATTAGCTGATAAATTTCAGAGCACATCAAGAAGAACAGGAAGCCGCCAACAAGTAGGTACCGTCATACCGGCACCGCGAAGTCGCTGACCGAACATAGGCGACGGAATCTAAACGACTCGACATCAGAACCGTCTCACAAACGGACCATAGCACGGACCCGACGCGATGCAAAGCATGCAGAGGCTGTTGAGGAAGGCCGGATCACATGTCTTCAACTTTGCGCAAAGTTGCACACCACCCTACCTCGAGAACTACGAGATATGGTGTACAGCGAGACCATCGGCCCACATGACCGCGAGAACGTCACCGGGCACCACGTCGATAGAAAACACGCCATCCAAAGTCCAGCCATGGATTTCATCAACCACGGGATACGGAGCCTAAAGTCAACTGAACAGCGCGGTCTGAAATGGTGGCTCGACAGCTACATGGGTCGCGAAGTAGCCACCGAGATCGTCGAGCAATTTTACCGCAGTCGAACGTTCTGCTTTAGTCGTCGAAGGTCGGGCTTGATCCCTGATTTCCTGAAACACGACGTCTTCTCCAAAGGCCTTGAACCGGGACTTTTCGTTCAGCACATGCATGCTCATGTGGGCGAATTCCAAATTGAGACTAGTTACTTCGACGAGCTCAAAGACATACTCGGAAAGATCAAGAACAAGGATGTCAATTTGCATATACGTCTTCACCACAGGACTAGCATGTCGGCTCGACGGCTGCAACTAGAGAAACTGGGTCCTGTTGTTTACCAGCTAAGAAGGGAAGGGCTGAGTCGCGTTACTGTACAGAGTTCGGGTTGCTGCAAGGACTTCACGTCGTTGTTTGATGTGCAAGAAGGGCTTTTCTTGGATCATCTGGTATGTTGCTGAAATGTCTGGTTCGATGTCCTCTAATGTTGTGGCAGGAAAAATGGGCGTTGACGGCAAATCCCAACATCTGAACAATCGCTGGGCTCGTGTAGTTTGTGCGCTGTATGTACTCGGAGAGGGTATGAGGATCTCTATTAGAGAATTGTCAGGCAGGCAGAACTTTGAGTAGCCTTATGGAATGAAAGCTGTGCATGCTTTCATAACTCGTACGACTTGAATTATGTCTGCTACAGCCTCGGTTGGCTGATACTCAGGTACGCGTCCGGACTAGCGTCGTGTTCCTTCGCGTCTTGTTGCCTGCAAGTTGATGACTCCGCCACAATTATCTTCCCGTCTTTGGGGATAAGACGCGCTTGCGCCCCTACAATTGAAGATGAACATTAATTACATCTTATGCTTACCAAATCCAGATAACTTCGCTTGGGACTGACAGTCTGTTTCATTAGCTACTGATCCGCAATGAAGCTTGGCCATTATGACTCTTCACACGCATTGAAGCGGAGGACGTATGTTATACGGTCCAAGTCTCATGCAAGGTAACAGGCGATTAATTGCATGTAGGACACCTCAACGTCGGAAACCTGATCCCAAACCTGATCCAGTCGAGTACGCTTCACCCACTCCACGTAAGAACATACGTCTAACCGAACAACAACAGCCCGACCCGCTTACTTGCACTTCACGAAGAACATCGCCAATCCCAGCTGAAATTCTGTACAGCTTTCCGCGCAGCCCTTCCTCGCGAAGTGAGGGACATGGTCTACGACCATCTCATTCCTCTCCGCAGGCAACATTACGTTGTTGATTGCCGTGAGGTAGATACTGGAATACGCTCAAGTCGATATTTCTACCACGATCACGGTGGCCGATCTTTCTTCGACGCTCAGCCACCTCTACCTGACGACCCTGCGATGCGTCGCGATACCTGGAGGTACGCCGAGTACACGGGTGAAGCAGTCGCAAAAGAGATAGCGGAGCACTGGTACCGCACCGGCGGCTTCATAATGTACACCCCAGGTGCTTGCTTGCTAGGTATGTTTCTCACGCAAGATGTCTGGAAAAGAGGAGTCGTGCCTGCCGATATCATCCGATACATACGCATTGATCTCAGCTGGGATCAGATTTGGGGTGGCGCGCAGCGTGTCGTAACTGATCTCGAGAACCTTCTTAGGTTGAATAACAAAGACATGGTAGTTATCTTCCAGATAGATCATCATGCAGCTGATGAAGACTATTACCTCGAGCCCCCGCTGTGGCCTGTCCTGCGAAGTTTGTTGAAGACGTTCGCGCCGAGTATTTATCGTTTGCGCGCTGCTGGGTTTAGTAGGGTTAAGGTGTATCAGGGCGTTATTCGTAGGCTTTATGAGAAGTGGCCGTGGGATAGAAGTCATAGGGATATCACGAACTGGTTTGATCTTGAGGAGGATGAGTTTCGAATGGTATTTTTGACGGTAGGTCGTGTTGCGCTGATGAAGTTGAGGATGTGTGCTAACGTATGGGCTAGGGGAGTGGAGATAATGAGGAGAGTAAACAACGTATTGCCGATGTCATATTGAAGGGTAGTGGTTGAAGAATGTTGATACTGCTGGAGATGTAGAAGACTGGGTCGAATTCATTGAGAAAGGGAAGGAGATGACAAGAGGTCTTCAAGACACATGTTATAGCTGTAGACTGGCGAAGATTAGGATAATCTTGACTAAACACGTCAGTATCCAGCAGTTTGCTCCACTCTCAAGGAATATTGCATATCTTATGCGCTGACATGATCCATCATGCCATTTGTCCGCCTTTCGAGACCTCCAAGCACGCTAAGATAAGAGCGTCTATGTACGGCGCGTCCTGAAGCATTCTTGACTTACACAGCTGCTTTTCATCTTCCGTTGCATGCTCGTGGAAGTTACAGCGATCTTGTATCTCGTTGCATAATGCATCCATTCCTTTGCCTTTGCTTGCAATCTTGTGGTTGATGCGCACAACTTCTACTAAGAAATCTTGGGGCAGCGGTGTAGCCTCGAGTAGCGCTCGATAAGGGCCCCTGTAGTGGCCCCAATTCAGCGCAGCACTCTTGACGAAGTATTGACAGATGGTAGAAGAAGGAGGTAATTCTTCGAACATGAAAGCGATCGTTTCGGGGTCGGGAGCCAATCCATCTTTCGTAAGGTCGCTGAAGGCGCTGATAACGTCATTGCGCAGTTTGACGCACTCGTATGCATCCGCAAAGCGATAGAGATGGAAGAGGCTGTTCAAAACATCGTTATTACAGTCGGAGTCAGCATCTGACTTGTTTTGATTTGTCTCTTCCGTCCTGGTACGCGTGTGAGCTGAGACATCAGCGTTCAAAGATCGGGTCATGCGCGCTGCAGGGCTTAATAGAGCTTCCACCTCACTAAGACCTGGAGGCGAACGAGTTATTTGAAGGTAGACCCAAGTCTGAAAAAGGCGGAAGGTCGTCTTAGAGGTCTCGGGAAGATGCAAGACGCCATCTCTGCCTTCTTTGAAGTTGGGTCCGAATGCGCGAGAGAAGTACTCAGAATGCCGGCGGAGGGGGTTCTTGTGAAATGTGAAGGGTGTTTTATTGGCGCCCACAGTCACACGTACCATTTCTTTCCCGAGATCCCTGATCTTGTCAGTAATTGTAAAGACTATGTGAGGGGTTGCTACATGATGCGCGCTTTGGAATTGATTGAGCGAGTACGGCGGAATTTGAGCGGTTGAGAGGCAACGTTGTAAGTTTCGGAGGTCGAGAAACCGATTAAATAAGGCAACGAAGATCGAGATCAAATAATCGTGGTGCGAAGGGGAGGCGCAGTAGTAAGAGGGTTCCACGGCCATGGCATCGTGAATGCGCGGTTCTGTCCTGCAAACGTTCAGTAATTCCCATGCACACCCGCGATTTCACCATGATCAATTCCGCAGCTGCCTGTAAAATATGAGAGATCTAACAGCTTTCATTGATCGTCTAGAGAAGGGGTTGTGGGAGAAGGTCAATCGAGTGCCAAACGCGAACTCACATGACGCGACGCCAACGCCGGCTTATCTCCGCTCCATCGCCGAAGTCCAAGCTCCAAGCTTAGGCGTCACCACCGAGCAGGTGCGCCCACAGCTACAACTAAAGCCGCAGCAGAGTGAGAAGGAGCACTGAGACAGCGGGTAATCGCGCAAACAATGACTACGAGCCCACGATAGCTGAGAGCTACATCCCAAGCCCACCATGGCTTACGACACCTCGAGCGGGTATGCGCCGCCCAGCACAAGCAACATGCAGGAGGATGCATCGGGCCCCATGTTCAGCATAGAGCGCGTGGCTTTACAATTCACAGTATCCTCCGACTTTGTAGCGGCTGCAGTAGCGAATAATGTCGTCGTCCTGGCTCTGTCCACGGGGCGCATCTTACGCATCGATTTGGACAGTCCCGCAGATATAGACGGTTCGTATAGCAATGCACACACCACACAAAAGACTTGGACAGCCGCTCATATACTACAAGATATCGACCTTCCGAAGAAGCCTTCAGAAGTGGGTGTCATCAGACGCCTCTTTCTCGACCCCTCCGCATCCCACCTCATCATAACCACCACCCTCGCCGAAAACTACTACCTCCATACACAATCCCGGACACCGAAGGCGTTGTCACGGCTGAAGGGCGTTGTCATAGAGAGTATCTCGTGGAATCCCTCGCAGCCCACTGCTTCGACGCGCGAGATACTCGTGGGAGCATCAGACGGCAACGTTTACGAAGTGTACATCGAGCCGTCATCTGAGTTCTACAGGAGGGAGGAGAGGGTAAAGTAGCTGTCACGGGTAGCTCTTAAAATATCTTGCTAACTTTTTACTAGTATGTATCTCCTATGCTATGCTTTGGCAACGCGGTTCGAAGACATCTTATGATTCGTGCTAACAGCTTAATAGATACTTGAAGAGCGTATACCGGACGAACGACGGCCCTATCACTGGCCTGTGGACGGATACGGTGCCCGGGAGAACGGATCTGCGGCGCATCATCGTCGCGACACCTTCGACTTTCCTACATTTCGCTGGCAAAGTCGGACGCCAGGGATCAGAAGGAAGTGGATCCATATTCTCTAAGCTGTTCGAGAGTGAATCTGCGACCGTACATGAGGTCTCCAATGTGGCCCCCACGGCAGCCTCGCTACTTGCTATCTCCCCGGAGCACAACGACAGCCCGAACCGCGAGGACTCCAACGCCGAGAGGATCTTCGGCTGGCTTACATCACAAGGCGTATTGCATGGGAAGCTGTATCTATCACAGGATACTTCTGAGCTTGGCGGCAAAGTTCTTGGAGACTCAAAGATGTTGCCTAGATCACAGGTGCCGCCTTCACAAACCGCTAGCGGGCGCACACGACGGACACAAGATCCTGTCAGCTCGATGATATTGAGCCAGTGGCATATTCTTCAGCTAGTCGAAGGCCGAGTCGTAGCTATCAACCGCCTCGACGACACTGTTGTCCATGACCAAGTTGTGCTGGAGCCCGGACAAAGTGCGCTTGGTCTGGTCGCTGACTGGAAGAGGAATACTTACTGGCTCTTCACGAGCCAGGAGATCTTCGAGATCGTTGTCGAAGACGAGAGTCGCGACGTTTGGAAAATCATGCTCCGAGCACAACAATTCGAGGCTGCATCACAGTACGCCAAAACACCAGCGCAGAAGGATGCAGTGGCAACGGCATCTGGTGACTACCTTGTTGGCAAGAGCCAGTGGATGGAGGCTGCAACTGTTTACGGACGAAGCACGAAGCCGTTTGAGCAAGTCGCGCTGACATTCATCGACAATGGCGAGCAGGACGCGCTACGGAAGTACCTGGTGACGAAACTGTCCACATTGAAGAAGTCATCGATAATGCAACGGACTATGGTTGCTACTTGGTTGATTGAACTATACATGGCCAAGCTCAATACTCTCGATGACACTATTACCACGAAAGCAGAACTCTCTGAGAGCATGAACACCGCCGAGACTCATGATCAACTATCAGTCATCCGGAAAGAGTATCAAGACTTTGTAACCAAGTACAAGGCTGATCTTGACCGTAAGACTGTATACGAGAT